TGTTCACTCATTTTTGAATCAATCGATTAATTATTTAATGTCAGCGAAGGGTGAAAATGCCCGAAACAGATTCCCAGAGCTGAATTTGATAACTTCCAAAGTGTTTTGTCCCAACAAACCCAAAGATATTTAGTTTAAAAGAGTATAAAATAGAGAAACGCAGCAAAATACTCATTTGAGAAGCTAGAACCGGAGAATCTTTGGCATTTTTACTTTAGAAATACCTTAAACAACATGTTTCTGCTCTAAACTGCTTGCTTTGTCCAACCAAATGTTCAAAACTCAAAAGAAAGCCATAAATTGTCCCAACTGAGAAGCTGGAATTTGGGAATCTTTGGAATTTTTTTAATGGCAAAATCAATTATCAGAGTAGTTTCAGCATTTTATTGGTTAGTTATTGACAGAATGTGGAAGTTTGTTGTAAAAAAAAATCTGCTTCCTGAATTGACAGAGATGAAGAATTTGCTTGTGACAGCGCTTCCTTGTTTCACTTCCTCTGTGATTACTCTTATGTGTCATCAAGCTTGTGACTTACTTCCTTCCTTTGAAAAATTATCAAAGATTGTTAGCGATTACTCGAATGAATGAATCGACTATTCAACTTATCGTTACGACACTGTTATGTTTCGTAGCGGACTGCAACGCCTAGTAAATAATTTAATAACCCAAACCGGTTAAGAGAATCAACAGCCAAATTAAACACTTACTCCATGCCACGTTTCCTCTCTATAATAAAGTCTGAACACCGTATGTGGCGTCTGTGTGAGCCGGCTGCAACAAGATGTGGGACACAAAGGCGTGCAGAACATCTGTGAACAATTAGAGGCGAACAGAGCGAGCAAGCACTTATACTGCCCATTACACTCGAATAAGTCACTGGCTCTGCCTTTCATGATGTAATGCGCCACAGCTTGGATATGCAATCTCAAAAGTTGCACTGGGACAAAGCTCTCACAAAACTTCAATCGAGCTCAAACGCGGGCACACAGGCCGTAAACGTAATCTAGCGGGCGAAGAGTGGAACCACATTTATCTGCAGCTCTGAGGTCATTCCTCAGGACGCCGATGGGTCCTCGTGTTCTTGACCAAATATTGTTCCAAGTGTGACACATTTATGCACATTTCTGCTTAAATCCTCCCAGCTTCCTGAGCTCGTGTTTAAATTCTTTCAGTCAGACGCATAAGAACAATAAAATTCCAGTGATTCCACCCAATCAGCAGGGTGAACTTTACATTTAATCTGCTGCATTTTTTTGCTCTTGTGGTTGATTTTTAACCCCCCGCCTCCACTCAGAAATGTGTTTTGCTTATTGCTGTGCAGACTCATGTTTGTGCAGACGTTGACACTAGAAGACTGTTTGCACATTCAGCTGCTGAAGGAAGGAAGTTTCTCTGAGCTCCCCTTAAATCTTTTAGTTTAAGACGTATATGTGGGAGAGTCCAGTATGTAATTTACACAGGTGTAATGTGGAAACCTGAAGAGCACTCAGACGGAGACCGAAGCAGGAGACATCTTGTGATCAGTAATTAAACTTTTAAAACGAGAGACATTTAAATACTGATAGATTCTGGAGGGGGAACGATTAGATGAAGTTTTTAAAGATTTTTAACTTGGTGGAGAAATATATTAGTAGAGTATTTTACATGGTTTTGATCAGAGTCTGTTTGCAGGTTTCGGGGAGAACTACTGCATGTATGAAAAGTAGCTGTGTGCAATCTGATAAATTGTCACTCAGAGCTGAAAACTGTGAAGTTACAGGGTTACAGTTACATTTTTCAGGAGTTTTCTTGACAATAGAGGACAGAACTGGCTCACAAATGGTCATAAAATGTACCTGTAGGCCGAATATTTACACATTTACGACATTTATGTTGACTTTAGAGTCTCTCTAACTTTTACGTAGGAGAAGATACACTTAAACATTTCCAGGACTAAATAGATTATTTCCAGGCTATTTGGTCATTTTAATCCATTTCCAGCTGTTATATAAGTATTCAGATTCTCCAGGTGTTTCCAGGATGCGTGTGAACCCTGAGTTAGTAAGAAGTGAGCTCACCAGATCTCTGTAGCTGCTCCTAATCTCTGATTGAGGCTGACAGCTGCATTGTGGGTAATGTAGGCGCCAGGGACAAGGGAGAAGAATGCATGGAATAAAAAAAGATGATATATCTGGTTCTGCTGCATCGATTTGGATGGTTTTTGTGTTGATCTGTCCATTGTGAGTGGGTTATCTACAGAGGTTACGGGTCGCCTTCAATGGAGGCCGCCATGTTTCTACAGTAGCCCAGAATGGACAAACCAAACAGCTCTAAATCGGGTGTTTTTTGTTTGTAGTTACATGTTTGGAGCCGCACTAAATCTTACGTTCTGGTCCTTTAAGCTCAGGAGATAAAAAGGTTCCTGGATGATCTCTCAAACACTAAAAAGAAGATTGATCCTCCTGTTTCGACCCTTTCAGTCCATCGCTTTGTTCCAATCATGAGGTCACCGCTTCGACGGCTCTTTGTGCCATGAAGTCTACGAGGGTTTCTTACATGATATACAGTATTTGTCTGCAATTGCCAAAAACAACAAGCTGCAACATTACATCAACAGACAATTTGGAAAAGGCACAAGGGATACGTCATTTCTATTCAAAGCAAAAAAAAAAGAATCTGGGAAAAAACTGCCTGAAAACACTAAAAGATTCATCGAGCATTTCATAGGAGATCTTCAGTGAAACTTAAATATTTTACAGCCTGAATGTTGGCCATCTCTGCGAGCCAATAACTCAAAAAGAGTTCAAACAATCCTTCCATCCTCATTGCTTCTGACCTAAAGTTTGGTCTTTGTTCAGAAAACGATGAGACAATGAGAACAGCATGAGCGTATATCTGGCCGTAAACCAACGGGCACAGATCATTAAGCGTGGATGTTTTCCCCCCTACAAAAGGACTCTATAATAGCAACGCAGCATTATCTTAGATGTTTTAAATCTTGTTTAATCTCTGAATAGGCCTACGACTTTTTAAGATTACTGGCACATGTTTTATTGCCAAATAAAATCCTTCACAATGTGAAGACAAACAAGAAACAATCCGCTCCTTGTGACTCGAATGCCATTCAGAAAATGTGGAGGGTATCACGTTTACTGAAAAGCAGCATTGTTAAAGTATGATCCAATAACACGTATTCGCTGCCAGTGCTGCTCCAAATAAGAGTCTGCATTGAGCAATATGGGCTGCGATGTAATCGATTACTTTGATTGACTAGAACAATATGGAGCAACCCCATTAAAGCTGAAACTGTTAGTCAATTCATTAACTTTCTTCAGATTACAATGATTACAATGTTAAAGTAACATAACTTATTTAGTTTCTGTTACTTCTGGATTATCTCAACACCAAATGCAGATTTGAACAAGATAAATGAAAGTCAGTGAGAAAACATGAACGGAAAAGGACATAAAATTGAAAGATTTTTATCATCAGCGTTTCCTCTAAAGACACTTTTAAAGAAAAACGGATGTGTTTTAAACCTGTAATCCTGTTTATCTCCATTTATCACCATTTTTGCATCCTGAATACTCAGTCACATGTAATCCATTACTTCCAAAGCCTGTTCCCATCTTAATTCCTTCACTAACGTCGTTACGGCGAGGCTGATTTAAGCCTGGTGGTTGTTTCCTGCTCCAGTGTGCAACTTTAACACGTGACATAGAAACCTGAAGCCACCAGTGCACATAA